CTCTCTCTCTCTCTCTCTCTCTCTCTCTCTCTCTCTCTCTCTCTCTCTCTCTCTCTCTCTCACACACACACACACACACACACACACACACAACGACACAAACGTGGCCAACCTTGCATCTTTTACTATCTTGCCCATCTATACTTATTTTGTTTTATGGATGGTTTATGATGATTGGTGGATGGAATGAGAGAGAGAATTTGGGATTTTGAAAAGCCAGACACACATCCATCCGGCCACGCAAAATCTAATCCCAGCCTACCCCAACCTGTCCTAGTCGGGCCTGACCTGACACAACCCTATTGTGCTGATGGCCCAACGCCCCAAACTGATGCTGAACAACCCAACCCAAACTGAAACAATCCAACCCAATGCAGCCCAGTACATTGCAATCCAATGCAGTGCAATCCTATGCAAGGCAATGCAATCCAATAGAACACAACGTTCTTGAAAACATGCACCCAAAACGAAACCCAGTGCAACCCAGCATAACGCAACCCATCCAGATTGATCCAGCCCATCTTTTGATCTCGCCTCGCACCCCCAACTCAACCCTTCTTCACCCAGCGTAATCACCTCCACTAACTCAAATCACCAGAAAACCACCCCACATACGGTTCCACACAGCCCAACCCAACCCAACCCAAAGTGAACCCAATCCGATGCAACCACAACCCTATCCACTGCAACCCATCATTGACCCTACAGTGTTCCCCCGAATACAACGTACAGTCATTATTGCTGAATTCGGTACATATAGCAGTCTACATTCATCTATAATGACCGTGCGTTGTATTCGGGGGAAGACCCTAGGCAACCCTAGGTAACCCAATGCAACCGGAACCCAACCCACGACAAGGCATCCCAACCCAACGACAGTGCTACCCAAGTCAATGCAATCTCACCCAACCCATCCCAATGCAGCTCCACCGAACCTAACACAACTCAAACCCCTAAGCATCCAATCCAATCCAATCCAGTGCAACCCTCCCCCCCAGCCCCACCTCAGGTAACCATTCTCAACACAACCTAACGTAACTCCAGAGCCACACACAATGCAATACGTCTGCAATACGTCTCAACATAAACCGGACTCCACCCAACACAGCAAGGGGATAGTGGATCAAGGGGCAAGGGGATGATGCTCTTTTTTCTAAAAGAGGATGATGCCCAAGTCAATGCGACCCAAGGCGGCACAGCACTGCCCGAGCCCAGCGCAACACAATGCCGTTCGACTCAACCCAGTGTAGCTCAACCCCACCCAGCTCTCCAATCTAATCCACCGATCCAGTGCAGCACAACCCCATTGGTCTCTCCAATATAATCCACCCATTGGTCTAGCCGTTCAGCACTTGCTGCAAGGCTATTTATAGTTTATCTATTTTATACCAAGCAGCCCACCAACCCAGCAATGACTTATGAAGTACATCAAGCTGGGAACGCTCATGCCTTTCATGAAGTCTCATCAGATGTTTCCAACAAAAGGAGCTGTGAGTGCCTTATATCAGACCTTCATTTCTAGTGAAACTTTTTGAAAGCTGGTTTGTTTCATCTTTTTTTTTTTTTTTTTTTGGACAAGTTCTTTGATTTATGCACGTTACCCTTTTGCAGGGGCCATTCTAACCTTCTCTGTATTATTCATTTCTACTAATTTTCTAGTGAAACTTTTTGAAAGCTGGTTTGTTTGAGGGATGTTGAAAAGGACAGGTTTGTTTCATTAACTTGATTCAAAAATCTTTCGGAAGGTCCCCCCTTTTTTCGTATCTCAAATGTCTCAGTTGTAATCAACGGGACGATGGACCCCTTTTCCAGCAGGTGATGCTCCCCCCCAAAAGATTGGAGTAACCGGCGCTGTCTTAGTAGCAGGGGTTGTTCCTATCACCCCTCCTATTAGGCGAATGCTTGCTCTTTCAAAAAAAAAAGAAAAAAAAAGGGGAGGTCCTACACCGAAGGGATAGTGCTTTCCTTTTTAGGAAGTTCTATAGCTTTTTTTTTTAAGGTTTTTTTTTTGGTTTTTTTAACGTTTTTAGGAATTTCAGATTTGTTACGATCCTGGCCAATTTCGAAGTACAACATTCATGAGAAAGTACAATGCACTGAATGCAGTCCAATGCAAAAAGAAATGAATGAACTTGAGAGGAGAGAGAGGGAAGTTGAAGAAGAAGAAGAAGAAAGAAAGAAAGAAGAAGAAGAAGAAGAATTAAAGAAGAAGACGATGTACACCAGCAAAGACCAATGATAACTCCCTCCTCCTTCGTCAACCACTCTCCTCCTCCTTTTCTCCTCCGCTCTTATTCAAACAATAAATAATAATAATAATGTTGAATGGCGGAACCAGAATCAATGTCCGAATCACTCTTCTACTGCAGGCACCAAATCAGGTCCACCATTGCCATGGCCACTCTTCCCTTCCTTCTCGAAGGCCGAGGCTATGGCGGACTACCAGGGCCTTGCCCTGCCCTGCTGTGCAAAGGACAACACAAAGCAGCTGTGTCCGCTGATACTCAGGCCGCCATGCCTGACTCTGACTCGGAGCTTCTTGGTGCGGCGCAACACCACTGGGGCCTTCCTGATGCAGCGCCTAACAAGGTAATGAAGATGATGGCCACCATAGCCAGGTAGGCACCTCGCCTTTCTCCCTCCTGGTCTCCCTCTCCTTCCTCCTCTTACCGGTAAAGCTCCACCATAGCCGCGGTGGAAGCTCCCGGCCTCCTTCTTCCTCCTAGCGCTGCTCTGCCCAGTGCTCCTCCCTGCTCCAGCGCTCTGAAGGCTGTTGCTTGCTCAAGCATCATGACATCCGAACTTGCATACTGCAAATGAGGAGGATCACTCCGCTCCTCCCGGAGATATAGTGGCCTACTTGCCTCTTGGGCCGTGACTTCCTAGGCCGCACCACCTCCAAGCAACCGGTACCTCCTCCGTTTCGGAGGGAAACATCATTGCAGGCTCTGTCTGATATTGCCCGTACAGGCACTAGACTCAGACTGGTTGGGCTGGTGCCTGCCTAGACCTATCCTACAACTACTAGGCCTCTAAAAATGCCAACTTTTGTCTTCTTTTGCTCGGCCTCGAGTACCCGGCACATTTACTTCTACTTAATATGGTACCTGCCTACCTGATACTTGAGTGTTTTTCCAATGCTCTACGTGTCACGGGCCTCTTGCCCCGCCGCTTGAGTGTTTTCCCCCGCTGCAACCCTCAATGTCACGGCCACAGGTAAGTACTGGCCCTACGGGCCTCCCAAACAAGCAAGTACCCTTGCGGGTCACACACACACTCAGGCCGACAAGCACTCGGACAGGCGCGCAGGTCACCAAGCACGCACGCACACACACAGACTTGGAAAACTCAGCAGAATGCGGGAATCTCAGCAAGGCATCCATTCCATCGAAAGAACTCAGAAATCAGCAGTGTTCTCAGTCTGTGTTATGGCGGGTCATTACAGATTTCTTCTTTTTTTTAATTATAATAACCCGGAACCGGGCCCAGCGTCCCTTATACTACAATGCCAGGAATCGGGCCTCCCGTCCCTCACAAAAGTTTTGTGGTGCTGTTTAATGGCCTGACATCATCGGTCAAGCCTAAAGACAGGACCACCTCACACCATGATCCCCTTGTCGAAGACAAAGTCCGAAGAAGAGGAAAAACCAGAAGTATCAGCGAACACCGCGCTGTCATTTTTATGTCCCCTCAGTCATCCAAAGTTAACTTGGCACCCCTGCCAAACCACTCTGCCACAGGCGCAGCAGGGGTATGAGCCCACAGGCCCCAAGTGTGTAAGCTAAGACCCCGCAAAACCCACCCACCTCCTCGCGATACAGAACAAGTAGCACCTCCCCTACTCCCTCCTTTCCAAAACAGCAACTCCCCGCTAGCTTTTTTAGGAAGTTCTACAGCTTGTCTGAACTTGTTGTTTTCAGAAAAACTGCAGGGAGTCCTACAGCAATTTGATGGTGCTTTAAAAAAAAAAAAAAAAAGCGACAGCCTCGAGATAACATCATTGAATTGACGGGTCCCAGGTAATTCGGAATTACTGTGCTGTATTCAACCAATTGCATTTGGATTCGAACACGGGTCTGTATTTTAAGCTGTTCATTGGGGTATCAACTGAGCTAGGCAAGTTGGTAGGGTCTGTATTTTAAGCTTTTTAAGCTGTATTTTAAGCTTTTATATGCATCTGACCATCATGTGTACAGTATCTGTGTACCCGTGCGGGAAGTGCGTAGTGTTTTTTAGGTGTTTTATGTAAGCAGGATGGTGTTTTGCCCTATCTACAAGTGTTATATGTATATAACCACCATGTGTACAGTGTGTATGTCCCCTTGCGGTAAGTGTAGGTTTTTCATGTGAAAGCAGTATTGTGCTGTGCCTTATCTACGAAAGCATTCTGTGTCTGGTGTTTTGATTGAGCGAGGTTCACTGTAGCTGCACGTGGTGAGCTGTATCGCCCTATGTTGTTTTAATGTGTTACTCGTACGTCTCCTGCTCCACCCACCTCCTTTGTCTGTTTGTTGCTTGCTGAATCTCTATCGATCCTGTGGTACACCTTTCCCACTCAGTCCCCTTCTTCCCTTGTTTAAACCCTTAAGCCCTTAAAACCCTTAATCCCTCGAACTCGTGTCCCTCCCCTGTCTAGTGACTCTACTCTGTGCTGAGCCTTTGTCACTCAACTCCTCCTTTGTCCGTTTGTCACTTGCTGAATCTCTATCTATCCTGTGGTATGCCTTTCWCACTCAGTCCCCTTCTTCCCTTGTTAAGCCCTTAAACCCTTAAACCCTCAAACCCTTAATCCCTCGAACTCGTGTTCCTCCCCTGTCTACTCTGTGCTGAGCCTTTCTCACTCAACTCCTCCTTTGTCCGTTTGTCGCTTGCTGAATCTCTATCTATCCTGTGGTATGCCTTTCCCACTCAGTCCCCTTCTTCCCTTGTTAATCCCTTAAACCCTAAATGAGGCTAAATCCCTTGAACTCGTGTTCCTCCCCTGTCTACTCTGTGCTGAGCCTTTCCCAGTCAGTCCATAGCCCCCAATATTAAATCCTTACAACCCTAAACCCTGTTTCGCCCCTAAACTCCTCTACCCCGAGCGTGTGATAAAACATTTCCCACCGGCTTTCACTGTCCAATATTGTGCCCATAAATCCTCAGATCCTAGTCCCCTGTCCCTGTCTGTTAGTATGCTATCTGAGTCTGTCTCCAACTTTCTCTGTGGATCCTCATTTGAAAGGGGAAACCACCCTGGGTGGCAAAGAGAGGAGGGAGACATAGCAGGGGGGGGAGGGGAGGGGAGGAGCGGGGACGTGAGGCAGGCAGGTAAGGGGGGGGAGCTTAGTTTACTGGGGGAGGGGGRGGGGAGGGGGGGTGGGCAGGGAGTCGTAGGAGTTCCCTGGGGGTGACAGGATTAAGAGAGGATTATGCAGCTGGTTGGTTGGTGAGGGATAGTCAAGTGGTCAGGGAGGCAGGAATTACGAGATAGTGATTCCTTAATTTTCTTGTGATCTGAGGACAGATAGTCATTTCTTAATTTTCTTGCGGTCTGAGGACATTGTTGTTTCTTTTCCCTCTTTTCAGAAGGAAAAAGGAAAAACAATCCCTTCCAGTCCGGGCTCTTTTCCGCTAGGGGGAGAGTCAGTCCCACTCCTTTTCCGCTGGCAAGTCATACAATATAAGGTTTTACTCTTTTTATCACTTTGCGGTGTTACGGCTGAGAGAGCTTTTGCCAGCATCTATTGCTCCCTATTTCAATTGGGCAGGATCGGGATCGCGTGTCATTCGAATCTTCAGCTTTGGGCATTCCCTTCGCCTGTGCCTGCCTGTCCCCTAAGGTTCAGGTTTCTTCAGAAATCTCCTTTAAATTACGGCGAGGAAGAGAAACAGACTTAACGAAAACTATTACTATGACCCTCCCATCCACTCTTGACCCCATAGGAAGTGACCTCAATGACCTCAATAAGGCTCAATTCCTTCCCCCCCCCCCCCCCCCACCTTTCTCGTCGTTTTTTTTAATGGACCTAAATCCCCCCCCTTCAAAAACCTCAGACGACAAAAACAACCGCCTTTTTTTTCTTTTTTTGTTGAAGGGACAATGCTCCAATCTATTCGTGGGGAGGGAACGGAAGAACCTCCTCCGAAAGAATGTTCCGCAGAGATGTTCATAAGGTCAGCAACTGGCCAGAGGGCCTGAAGAGAATTGTGTTTGGCTTTGCTTCGCTTGGCTTGGCTCGGGCTTTGGTGATTGGGCTGTCTCAAACAGATGGTGGGTAAGTTGCCCCTTAGGGTTTCTGGTGTGCTTCTTAAGGTACCGGGAGTACGTTTATGTGGAGTTCGTGGAACGGATGCTCCTCCAAGTCGCGAGCAGCATTGCAGGCATTGAAAAAGGTTTGTGACCTGAGATCGCGGTCAGTGAATGCCTTGATTTTGTACTATGATGTGTGCATTGCATTATTGACTGATTATGTGACATGTTGTCTTTTCCCCGAGTAGAACGTATGCTCAGCGGAAACCGGGTTATGGCCCCGGTATCTCAAATTGTTTTCATATGTTTTCAGATGGGACACTGGGCCCGGTTCCCAGCACATGCTGCTCCCCACGAATAGAATGGAGCACTGTTCCCAAGAAAGAAAAGGAAAGAAAGAAAGAAAGAAAAAGAGCGTATGGGTCATGCTTGGTGCGGTGAGATCCCGCCAACCGTAATCTTATGTTGTTATACTAGTTGCTTGGTTGCATACTTGTCTTGTGAGGGAATGACACAGACCTAGGACAGGTAGTCCACGGGTCGGTTTTCAAATCCCATTCCGTCCAATGATGATGGAAGCTACACCTTTACAACGTGAGGGAAAAGAAAAGAGAAGGGGAAAAAAAAAAAACCCAGAAAGGCCATGAGGCACGAGCATAAACAAGCTGATTGAGAGTGGAAACCCCGATAACTGAAGCACCAACTCAAGACAGTGCTGAAACACTGCCGCAAGGAGGAGGATCAACTTAAACCACTAGTACCTCTCCCAGCTATTTTGCCAAGACGCGCCGGGTAACGTGGGAGGCCAGCAGGGTTCGGTGCTACCGGACCGAAATAGCTGGCGGCGTCAGCCAAAATGAGTCCCGTGCTGGTTCCTTTTTTTTTCGGCGCGCACTGCGCAGGGCAATTCTAGGCTCGGCATCGATAGTTGAGAAAGGTGCTGGTGGTTTAATGAACTGACATCTGTAATCCCTCTGAAATGGTGGACAGCCCAAAAGAAAGGCCCACAGATCCAAGAGGGAGACTGGATAGGCTCCTCGAACCTGGGATACAGGGTAGGGATGGTCCAGATAGACACAACGGATACGATGCTCGTGGAGCCAACGGATAGGGTCCTCAAAACGACAGCGGGAGACTAACAGGCATAACCGCCCCGAACCGGCCAGACCCATAACTATGGATAGAGAAACAGGAGGCATGAAGAGTCAGGGTGGTGGAGAAAGAGAGCATGAAAAGCCTCTTGTGGAATAGAAAGTAGAATAGAAGACCTCCCACCGAACCCATTGGAACGGAAATGGTTTAGGACAAACACGAGGACTGGTATGGGGATTAGGCACACATTACATCTCTGGCTGCATAAACTTACAGTCAAGTCAACCTACAAACTGATTCCCAAAAAAAAAAAAAAAAAAAAAACTACAAACTGATCCATCCAATGAGAGACATCAGGAACAGGGTAAAGGAACAATGGGCCAGGCACCTAAATCTACAGTCTTCCCCCGAATACAACGCACGGTCATTATAGCTGAATCTAGACTGAAAGATAGACCAAATTCAGCTATAATGACCGTGCGTTGTATTCGGGGGAAGACTGTAGGCATCAATGATCTGCAGTGGATTAAACTTTGAAATTCACGTGTTACAACAGCAAACCTGCTAAATCAGTAGCTCTACAGTAGCAGATCACACACAGATGCCTACCAACAAGAGACTGGCTCATACCTCACACCCACTTAGAACAGAAAGGAATACTCTTGTCCTGGTGTAAAAGCTGTCTATCAAACCTCCCACATAGGAAGGTCAGAGAGACCCAAGAACAGCTCTTCCTCGCCTGCCCAGAAGCTGTGTTGCTGTGGAGGTGGTTTGGACAGAATCTGGCAATGTCTCATGGGGGAGACTCACTGGCCTTGAGATTCCAACTCTGTGCTCCTGCCCCACCACCAGATTAACTCTTTCTCTTTTTTTTTCCCCTAAACGACCGGGATCCAGTCTCTTCGTGGGGCGCACCATGTGCTGGGCACTGGGCCCAGCATCCCTTATATGAAAGAAGTTAGTAAAGAACACATTAAGCATTCGATGATAATTTTGTGGATACTGGAAACAGTAGCTCCGGCTAGGATACATTAACAAAAAGGCTGAAAAAGCTATGAATATTCATGAACAACTTCAACGTTCAAACACCTTACTTCTGCCAATCCTATGTGTTTCGAGTGATGCTAGGGCTGAACCAAAACCTAAATTAGTTGCCCCGTTATCACTACCAACCAGGTCTGGACCCGGCCTCACGCCCCCAACATGCTAGGCTACAGGGCATCACAACCCCACCCCAGCTGCGGCCATCGTTGTCCTGGCAGTAGTCCCCAGTTAGCCTCCACCGAACAGGAGCATCCTAACCACAGACACTCCTAATCAGTCCCAGCTTGGGCCAGACCGACTCCCCCCCTTTATTCCCTCAAAGGCATCCAGTTCCCTCCCAAAGAATGCCTCTGCCAGCCCCTTGCCCTCCTCTGGCACCGCTGGGATTTGATGCCGACTCATACATCTCCCCCAGCCCCAGAAAAGAGCAACCCCCAAAATCTGTTCCCACCCCCTCCAGGACGTTCACTTCCCTCCTTGTGAAGCCCCTGCAGAGTCGCGCTCTCCCCCTCAACAACAACCCACCAAGCTACCAAAGATAGATTAGATAATTAATTTAAGGCACAAAGAGGAGAGTCAGGTCAGAATTTTAATATTCGAGAAATCCATATTAAAAGAATTCAATTCAGCTAATATCATTTCTAGGATTTACTAGGAAAAGAGAGCTATGACGTCGAAGATGAATTTCGCTATTAGGGAGTATGACCTAACACTTCTAGAATGTAAATTCCAAAAATTACTAAGTAGTGAATTATCGAGAGGACTAAAAATAGGATCAATGAATTCAGGATTTGATATGTTTCACTATTTACTATTAACTATTTACGTAGTGAAACAATAGTTACAATACCTTTAGAAGTTTAGAATAATTAATTAAGAAGATTAATTAATGGACGTGAGATACAACCAAAATGTAAAATCTAACCCCCCCCCCCCACAACCCAACCACTCATCCCAACCCCCATGCCCACTGCCCCACCCCCTCTCTTCCCCTCTCTCCCTCCTACACCTCCCCTTCCATCATAACCCGACCCTTCCCACACCCATCCCTCCTCCACTTCCTCCCTTTGTAACGCCACTTCTCTCGCCCCATCCTCAACAAGAGGAGAGCAGAGCATCAGAGAGGTAGACAGAGCCGAGGCATGAACAGGGAGGAAGGGAGGAAGGGAGACAAGGAGAAATGTGGGGATGACGCAGGAGGGAAAGGAGGAGGAGGAGGAGAGGGATGGCAAGAGAAGAAGACTGAAGAATTGAGGACGGACGGACTCAGACTGAGAACTCTACGATGCTATAGCCCTCTGCGCTTCAAATACTCACTTCAGACAATGTTGATGACAGTGGTGATGATGATGCTGATGATGCTCATGGTGCTCATGGTGCTCATGGTGCTCATGGTGCTCATGGTGCTCATGGTGCTCATGATGCTCATGAGTCATGATGCTGATGATGCTCATGATGATCTCATAAGGCTATCGCCATTTGTGAAGCAGTCGATGAAATGTGCCATTGACGACTACTCCAACACCAAGCTAATCCCTCCCCCCACTCCACGAGGCACCACCCCACTCTAAACTCTTAGTAGACACCAGTCGTGACCTATGAGTGTTGGTGGAGAAGCCTGCTTTGAGGATAGAGAAAACGTCCCGCAGCCTCATTCCTCCCCTTCCTAAGCTGTGTTAGACCGCAACACAAGCTGGTTGGCATAGAACCGAAGAAGTCACTGGCGAAGAAGGAACACAACGTTGCACTTCCCGTCCTTGCTCTTGATTGCCCGCCTCGCTCGCCTGCCGCACTCACCATCAGCGCTCACGCCAGCAGAGCCGCGCTTGCGTCAACTCAGCGCCACTTGCGGCCGTCGAGCAGTGCTCACGCCCGCTCACACGTACGTGCGCCCGCCGTTGCAGCCGCGCAGCAGCGCACGCACCAGTGTAGCAGCGCTCACACCCAAGTAGCAGTGCCCACATAGCGGCACTCACGTAGCAGTGCATCACATAGCCGCGCTCGCGCAGCAGCAACGCCGTAGTACAGCACTCGCGTAGCCACCAGATTAACACTTCATATGTACGGAGTTCAACTTTTAGACCCATTCATAAAAAAGTGTTTTGGTTACTTGTGGCATATTGTTTACTTTCCAGATAACCGGTACTAGAAGGGGATGCTCTTATCACCTCCACAAGTGGGATGAGGCTTTGGAAAAAAGAAAAAGAAAAAAAGATGGGGAGAAAGGCAGCCATGTGGCGCATATGGACAGCAAGATATATGTAAGAATGGGAAAGCACCCAACCGCACCATGAGACAAGAGAGAATATCATAACCTAGATCCAAACAGCCATCATGGGTGAATGGCAGCTGATGCTGGACAGCATCAAGCATCTGAGTGATACAAATGAAAAGAAAGAGAAAGTCAACGAAGTCTGTGACAAAGGGCTGAACAACCCAGAGTCCAGGGAGATTGCAAGGGTGGAGGCCCTGGAGGGGTAGGTTTCAACACCTCGGGGGGATTCGTCTGCAATTTGCTGATTGGACCAACTTCGATGCATTGCAAGGGTCGAGAAGGAGGTTTCAGCACCTCAGGGGTTCCATCTGCAATTTCATGTTTGAACTACTTTTGGTGTTTCTTTTCCAATGCAGCCCTCCACTGAGTTCTGGGATCCATTCCTCTTTTCTTTTTTTCTTTTTTCTTTTTTTTTTGGGCGGGGGGGGGTAGATAAATGCTCCAACCTATTCGTGGGGAGCAGCACGTGCTGGGAACCGGGCCCAGCGTCCCATATAGAGTTACACAAGTCATTTGAGATACCGGGGCCATTACCCGGCTTCGGCTGAGAATCAATCCATTCCTCCCCCTCCGACTGCAGCATAGTTGAGTTGTCATGCTGTGGGGGGGGTGTGCTAAGTCTACTGAGACACACGAGTTATGTACCCGATTGAACTTCAATCCACAACGAATTCACACGTTCGCATACACGCATGCAATTGCAGAGTAGACTCGAAGGAGGCAAATCCACACAAAACCGGAGAGAAGATATGCACAGCGGAAGCTCAAAATACACAGAGGAATGGAGAGAATTGAAAAACGAATTTCAATTCTGCAATCCATCATCCTCCTCCAATCAATCCAGAGTACTTGTTTCAAAAATCACAACCGCGTTTGCAACAACCCCGAACAACCAAAAACAAGTGTTCAACGAAGTACGCATGCAGGAGTCTTCTTCTTCTTCTTCTTCTTCTTCTTCTTCTTCTTCTTCTTCTTCCTCGCCACCTCGTACCCCTGGCTATGGCTGCCGTAGCAGCAGTAACCCCACAGCTGTTACAACGTGCCAATCTGAACCAGCAACCCTAATTATAACAAGGCCAGCTCAGCGCCCGCACGGAAGTGCAGCACTGGACGTCCTGATGAAGAAGGAGACAACCGATCCAGCACTTTGAAGAAGATGCAGTTCCTCCTGAGGAGGAACAGCAGATATGGCTGCCAAGTGGAAAATGGTAGCGCGCAAACCCAACAACACAGTCCTGTGGAAGCTCTCATGCAGAGCTGCGAAATAGCAGCAGTGCGATCTTCAACTTCGTTCCCCAACCCCAGCTATATGGCTGGGCTTCGAGGAAGAAGATGACCTCGCCCAAAATAGCGCAGCAGCGCTCCAACAACGGATGGGCAGAGTTTCCCCAACCGCACAAAACAAGAAAAGACCCAAACCAGCTTTCCTGCCCGCTCGTTCTACCCTCTGCCTAGACCTAGGAGGGACTCCAAAGACAACAACCCAAGACTCGTCTGTATCCAGATGGAAACAGGGAGAAACGGGGACCTAGACGTATCACAAGGCAAAAGGAAAAGGTTGAATGGCCTAAGGCTACCAAACAGAAACCACTAGTGACAGACTCAGGGATCAAGTCCCATAGGGCGCAGCACTTACACACAGAACACACAAGTTACAGATCACGGGATCAAGTCCGGCAAAAAGCTCAAAACAAAGAAACAGCAAGTAAACAAACTACACAGCCGAACACAGTGTGCACAGCCCGACTGGGAAACTGCGATTATTGCACACGAGTGAGGTAACCGGCTACGAGTTCAAATGTGGTAAGCTGGCGGCTACAGCTAAGCTAAAGGCCGGCTCTCTCCACATTTTTTTTTGCTGATCTTCCTAGCTGAAAGATCACACCTCTGCAAAGAAACCAACAATGTCTGAATGCTTTTTATGTATAATTGGGCCGCTGGACCAGTTTCCCAGCAGGTGCAGCTCCCCACCAATAGACTGGAGCCATCTCTACTGCGACCCTCAATCCAAGTGGTTCTCTCACCACCTCCTGCATAGAGAAGATGCAGCACGATGTTTTAAGATTAGGGCCATGGTTGCAGACCTGCCGACCGCTGACCCCGACCGCCGACCGTATTGCAGCCGACCAGTAGGGCCAACCAGTCGGCGATCTGCTGACCAGTCAGGAAACAACCATCCACTGATTTTTTTTCAAATCTGAGTTGGGGGCTGTCCTGCGGTTGCTGAGTACAGCCCAAATCCGCTGAGAAACTTTTGGGATGGGGGGGTGGTGGGGGAGGGGTGGGGGGGGTGTATAGGGGGTATTGGGGGGGGTAATGAGGGTATTGGGGGGGTTTGGGGGGTGGGGGGGGGGTGTATGGGGGTATTTGGGTTGGGTATGGGGGTGTTGGTGGGGTTATTAGGGGTTCTGGACCCAAAAAACAATAAAACTTCATATTAAAAAAAATTGCGGGGTGCGGACGACCCCCGACCAATAGTGCCGACCCGCCGACCAGTCAAGGGTCGCCGACGGTCGGGGTGTGCAACACTGATTAAGGGGGGGGGGAAACAAATGGAAACCCCGGAATCAACTTGGCATTGTTATGGTAGGCTGTCCTGTCAAGTGACTGGTAGCGAAGCGCTTGCGTAGTGTAATAGTGACAATAGGGGTCATAGTTGTAGAAGTAGTGGTAGCAATTCCAGTATAAGTAGTACCTAGTAGTAACAGGTTTGCAAGTGGCAGTACTGGTAGTCATAGTAGTAGAAAATTTATTATTTTTGCTCGTGGCCGTCAGTAGCAGAGTCGCAGTAGCTGTAGTAGGAGAATATGCAGTAATTGCAATAGTATAGTACCACAGGTAAATAGAGATACCCTGGAAAAAGCTCACAGATGTCCAGGCCTGCTCAGTCAATCCCCTGGGTTGCAGGGTAATCAATGCTGCCAGACCCCACAGTCACCGTCCTCACCTTTGCTCAGACATTCTTTTTTTGTATATGGGACGCTGGACCCGTTTTCCAGCAGGTGACGCTCCCCACCAATAGACGGAGCCTCTCCCAGGTGTTACTGGTGTCCGCTCTTATCAGCAGCACTAACACTGGTGGGAGTGTTTCAAAAAAAAAAAAAAAAAAAAAAAAAAAAACATAGTACCTGAAACGGTTTTCAACTTTTCACCTTTCTGCAGTCACAGATGCGGGCCCTAGAGTTCGATCCCCAGACCTTACCTTGCCCATGTACAGTATAAAGTTGAAACCCCGAGTGTTTGAACCCGTGACCTGTGTTTTGGTAGTTGGTTGTTGTCTGTCGTAGGTCTGTGTAGTTGTAGGGGTTCGATCTGTAGGTCTGTCAAGTAGGGGTCACAGCTCTGTAGAGGGCGTAGCTGTAGGAGTTCTTAAAGGTCAAGGTCGTAGCTGCTACAGTCCTGAAAGGTCAAGGTCGCAGCTGCTAAAGTACTCGAAAGGCCAAGTCCACAGACTTCCGGAAGGTCAGGAAGTGGCCTTTCGAAAGTGTCTCACATTTAGGCAAAGGCAAGTGGTCAAGTGGTGGAGTCCAACTTAGTCCAACTTCGATGAGTCAGCGGTACCCAGTCCCAGTCTCACTTTGCAATTTTGCACCGTCAGCAAGTACCATGAGGGACTGTGTGCACCATGGGCCCGGTGGAAAGGGGGCAGACCAACGAGTTACAGAAGTATAAATATAAGAGGCAGCGCCCAGCCATTCATTCATTCGCTGTGTAAGCCATGCGGAAGCACTGCTACAGCGTCTTGTGTGAAGGTGGTCTGCAGGTTGCCCGAAGACGAAGTGGGTTGAAGGAGCTAGAGTGCTCATAGGGGTAGTGACAAGCGGCCATAGCCGCCGTAGGTTAGAGATAGCTGAGAGTGCGTGTGCGGGATACAGAGTGAGTGTGCGTGGAGTATTCAGGGAGATCCAGAGTTGAGTGCAGGCGAACAGTGGTGTTGAGCGCAGTGACGAGAGTTGGGCTGTGTAGGCGCTGATGCGCCATAGCTTATTGAAGCGAGTTTCGCATCTGAACTGTGTTCTCGATCGTCGTATCTCTGAGCTTTGAGTGGGCGCTGTGCGCCAGTGTGAATCGCCAACTGTTGCATGTATGTGAAGTGGGAAAGAAAGCAAGTCTGAATGCAGTACCAATAGTGTTGTAAGTAATAGTACTGGTACTCATTTCAATACTAATAGCAGTAGTTATACTACTGTTATAGTCATCTTTTTTCTTTTTTTTTGAAAGAACTTGCTCCAATCTATTCATGGGGAGCAACACGTGCTGGGAACCAGTCCAGCATCCCTTATGAAGTTTGTACAGAACACATGAGATACCGGGGCCATTACCCGGCTTCTGCTGACAGCAAGTAAGTTTTTGGTCGATTGAAAAACTGTGGACTATTGAGAAGGGACTATTGATTAGGGACTACTGATTACCATGGCAAAAGGGAATAGGAGGGGAGACCAACCTATCTGCCGTAGATAAGTCTTGCCGGAGGGTTTGGTTGACCCCCCCCCCCCCCCCCTCCCCTCGTTGACCAAACTGCCATTCAACACCGATCCACCTTCCGGCAA